ATGACCACATAACATAGCCACTCTGGGTCGCATATGCATATACTTTATTGTTTATCTGTCGCATTTTTCATTGTTTTTTTCGCCTTTGCTTGTATGCAGAGCAGCTTTATGATTTATGTGCCTCCCCAGTTTGAAGGAATGTGAAAGCGGCACTACACATTTCCATTACTGTGGTGTATGGACTCTAAGAAGAGTTTCGAATAATGTAAAGTAATATCTGGAAAATTATAAAAGTGAGTTGACTATCGAGTAGCCCCCTTCATTTGATCTCCAAAATATTTTGCTTAGCTATAGACTCCTTGGCATAATAGTTATAAAACAGCAATTCAGTATAACACAAAAATATAAAATTTAAGATCTACACTTATTACTTTTCTCAAATAGTCTTGTATTTTATAGAAGGACCTTCCAGAGTTATAGTTTCTACCAAACTCTTTTATACGAAAAATATATACTGAGCAGTACTTTGTACGGGCTTAATAAAAGGAGCATACAACTTTCAAAACATAAAGGAATACAACTTCGTTATAAATCATTTCGTCTTAATTAACTTTAACTAAACTAAAAATCAATTAAATGAAATCCCCAATTGTCTGCAAAACAACCCATTTTACAGCGTCGTAGCTCTGTCCACCAAAATATTGTCTCTTTGGAACTGTAGAGTTGTGGTAATTACATCTGCATGCCATACTTTCATTTGTTTTCCAATAAGTCTTCAAAATTATTTCCCGGTGGGTAGAATAAATTTCAAACGAAAGGAAAAACGTGCCGAACTGCGTAGAAAAAGCGAGTTCACATAACCCCACAAAAATTTATTGCTTAGTTAAGGTTCTTGTTGGAACCAGAAGTCCAATTCGTAAACGACAATCTGTAGTGTTCCCCATTAAAGCAAAATGAATCACTGATATCCTCAGGTAGAGCACATCAAACAGAGAGTTTGTTGAAATGTATCGGCGTCTCAACAATGGCTTTTGGATTATAAACACTTCAAATGAGATAATTTAGTTTGTTAACGTACCCATTCAAATAAAAGTGAGTTCAATCGTTGAACAAAACTTTCTTATGAAAATCGGTTTCAGTTCTTGCACGAGTTGGATTGTGTAAGTCCGCAAATCAAGACCCTTCTACTTGTAGTCTACCCACTTAATCTCATTCTTATGCAAATTTCAATTCAAGCAACTTATTTTCAATTTTAAGCATATTGTCTTCTATGAACAGACTATAGAATTCCCTTATATTTAACTGGACAGAATAGTGGGTAACTGCTTCAGAAAAATATTACTAGTAACTGTGATACACAGATTTTGAACTGATTACTCATATGAGACCGCTCTCGCTCTTCGGCCACTAAACAGAAAGTGTAGTGTGACGTCCATATCCTGAACTGGATATATAATATTTAGTTTGAAGGTATCAACCGGGACCCTATAAAGTACATAAATAAATGATCAGCGTGTAATCCAAGTTAATTTAGTCATACCCGTCTGTCCGTTTCTCTGTTTTTGTTATACCACTCTGAAATTCTGCACACGTCCTTTTCTAACCAAGAAGCTGCACATTTGTATGGAAAGCCTTTTTATTTCACAAAGTATCTTCACGAAATTTGACAGATAATAATACGCAAAGCATCGCTACAATCTCTGAACATATTGCCAATATTAGAAAACTATAACATATGGCCGCCCATCGAACTGATCAATCAAAATCTTTTTGCGCTTCGTAGAGCCGGTTTTCAGTCGATGGAAGAGATAAAACAAAATTCGCTGAACGCGCTGCAGGCCATCCCAAAAAGTGCTTATGAAAAGAGCTTCGCCGACTGAAAATATTGCTGGCATAAGTGTATCACAATTAGTAAGGAGCAACAAAATAAATATCTTACTTTAATAATTAAATATTTTTGCGGGTTTTTCAAAATGTAATCTGGCTTTGGAGGCAAACTGTGTCAGAAGTCGATCTACAGAAAGATAGTACTTCTAACGTTTATGCAGTAGTAGCCAGTTAACCAGAATGGTAAGTGTACTAAAATAGACTTCAGTTTATCAACAATAAGATACCAACCATAAATATTTTTGTTGAGCCAGATTTTACCTGGTTTTTCTTATTTTACTCTGGAATATCATCTGTTTAGAAAGTCATATGTTATTTATTATTTATTAATGGCTCTTGAATCTCGACATCACTTAGAGAATAAAAATTGCATCGTAAATATTCAAATAATCAAAAGATTTTGAGCACTTCTCTTCAAGAAACAGGAATATAAATTTCAGTCATATCAATTCAATTTCAGCGTAAGCAACTATGCGATTACTTCGACTTTAACTGAACTTTTGCTTACAGAAATGTCGATCAAATTCAAACTGACATTAATACAATAAAATAAACATCCTCCGCAAAAGCTGTCAGCGTCCGCCATGACCATTAGAATGATTTATTGCTAAGTCATCGCCATTACCAGTATTGCCAATGCCCGGGCGCTTCTATTGTTTCACCCTATGTGCTTTGCGTTTTGCATGCCGCGCTTTTTCCAGCAGCCAACGATGATGGCAATCCCGAACTGTCACTTTGTGTGCATTTTTCCTGTTTCGGCGACATTTGTTGCCCACAAAAAGAATACAACAAACGCAATAAAACATAAAAGCAACCATGAAAAGGGTAATAATATTTGGCGAAGGATTCAGCGCCAAAAAAAAAGTCAAGAAAGCATGCAAAATGCCGCGCCGCTATGCCCACGTGCTGCAAGATTTGCAACCAGCGAAGCAGTTAACCCATTCAAAAAGTTCGAGCACATAAAAAATCGACGAAAGTTGGCAAAGCATTAAAATAGATAGAGAGTATTCGAAAGAGCTTCGCTCCAGCTGAATGCCACTAAATTGTGAAGAAATAAAACAAAATGAAGTACTACAAGCACTGCAGGCGATTTGAGGGGGGGCCTGAAGAAAAAAAATGTTTGCACAAATACTTTTTGGGGCGATTTGCGACGTGACTTTCTTACGTTTTATGTCCTTTGAATGTCGCTTCAAATGGCGTATTGATGCGGTTGGCTGACGACGCGCGTTTGGAATGGAAATCAGACACAGTTTTTATTGCGCCTTTTTATTTTACGCTCATTATTTTATTGTGTTGGCAAAGCGGTTTAAATATATTTATTTAAGAAGTTCCTTTATTTTATTTCTTTATCAGAGCCATGCGACGCACGTAATTCAATTGCAGTGATTGTTGTTGTCATTGTACGGCGGCAGGCTCCATGCGAGGCTTGAAGGAATATGCTAAGCTACTAATTGTTTGAAAATAATGCAGAGAGCACACGCTCATACACTAATAAGCTGTCAATTTTTATTGTTTGCTTTAGTCATAATTAAATACGTTACTTATACGCCCTGGCAACCAACTTAAGCCAATCAAAAATATACGTTAATTTACATTTTTACAATAACATGAAAGAAATTATATATTTATTTATTTATTTTTATATTTGTATATACTTTGATTACTTTTCTTTAAAAATCGTTTCTAGTACAGTTATAAATCGCCTAATATTTTTTATTGACGATGGTTCCAATAACCTCATCGTTACGAAAAATGTTTGCAAAATATCTTAAACTTAGATTTGGGTTCAATGAACTCGGCACCACAAGCCAGTTCCGATTTCATATTACGATACGATGCGCCACACGAAAAGCTCTTCTTATAATTGGACCGTAGGATAAGTTTCCTCAACATCGTAAATAAGGTTAAATGGTGAAAGATTAAAACCCACAATCAACTAAACTGATTAGACTCTATCGGTGTGGTTTAATTTTGGAAAATCAACGACTGGCCACATATTCGATATGCGCCAAATCTTAGAAAAAACTCGGGAAAAGGGAATCGATTCATTCCACCTCTTCGTTGATTTCAAAACTGCTTTTGAAAGGGATGTGCCCTTTTGTCGCTATGTAAATCGACGTTGAGCAATACCAAAATCTCCGTTAGGAGCCGTTTGAAACCAAATGAGGTCTCAGACAAGACGACTCAATATCGTGGGACTCCTTCAATCTACTGCTGAAGAAAATAATTCGAGAATAGAGAAAAAACTTAAGGTCTTATCTTCGAACCAGCATTAAAACCAACAAACAACGTCAGTCTCGTAATCAGAAGTGTTTCTTCGGACTGAGTAGGCAATTGAGAAGCAAAGTCCTCTCTCGACGAACAAAGGCCAAACTCTACAAGTCACTCATCATTCCCGTTCTGCTATATAGTGCAGAGGCATGGACGATGACAACATCAGCTGAAACGGTGTTACAAGTTTTTCAGAGAAAGGTTCTGCAGTGCAGCCTAGGGAGGGGATGTTTCACTTTCTCACTTTAGCTCGCTTTCAAACGGACTTGTTTTGGCTATACAGAAGATACTTGGTGTAAGACCGGAATCATTTGTGAAAGAATCGTTTCTGGCAACGCCCAAGTGAATGGCGATCAGAAAACTTCCCTCACTTACCTGAACATCTACAAATGCCTTCGTCCCTCACCTTCTCCTGTTAAAATTGCACGCTCGTTTTCAAAAATTTGCGTAAAATCCCTTATGAAAGAGTACATTTTTGGAGCTTTTGAAAGTCGATCTAACAAATGAGCGGTAGTGTGCAAGAATGTTATACTAAAACAAACGATGGAGAAATATGAATCCTAACTTTTCGGGGTTTGGCGGGCATTCCGTTGCTTTCCATCGTTCTGCCCGACTTTGTCTTCTCTTCAGACAAATTCATTTCCTTATTATTTAATAATATTGTTTGGTTATCATTTACTTATATTATTACAATAACCCATAATTATGAATAAAATAAAACTGTGGCAGAATTTTTTGCATGAGAATATAAAATAGCACTTGCGTAATTTGGTACATGTCTGCTTCGCTTTGAAAACCCTCATAAAGGAATATACCTCTCATACAAAATACGGTCACATTTCTTCCCACACACCCACCTTTCACATACGTGCCACTTAGCCCTTTTTTCTTCTCTTCCTCAGCCATTGCAGCACCATTCGAGTATTTCGAGGATCATGACCAACTCTCCTACGACTTGGATACCGAGCAGTCAAAAGCCAAATATGATACACGTCTGCTGTCCGAGCAAATGTTGAAGTTGGAAAAATCCACTGAACGGTACGAAAGTGCTGACAGCCACGCTAACGGCATAGGTAACAGTGCGACCAATTCCGAACTGGACGAAGACACCGAGTCGGAAGCAGATGCGGATGTGGATGATTTGCAACCGCATGAACGTGCGGCTTCGTGTCACAACAATGGCCATAAATACACACACGGTCAAAAGGTAAGTCACGTTGGAGTATATAAATCTGAGCCGGTGCCAGCCATGCACAAGCAGGCTTTGTCAAACGCACGCCTAATGGACCAGTGGGGGATAACCGAAGACGAGAAAACCAGTAAACTTTAAAGATTTGTTCTCAGCGTAGAATATAACTGTTTGTATGCATAGTAAGTCTCATTCTTATTATATTTTAAAAACTTGCCATGAGTGGAACCGAACTTGTCAAAAGTTCTTAAGCTTTCATTCACTTCGAAACTAGAAAAATATGTTGTTACGAAATTTTCCTAGAAGGTTCTTGTAGGGATACAAATGTATAACGAGCAAACTCGAACAAAGCGATGGAAAAAGTCAAAGCACAGGTGTGTTGTACTTCTCCACTGTTGACGTGCTGCTGTGGCATATGTCGGCTTGCGCATAACAGCCCTATAATTCATTGTTCTGCTTTCTCTAATCCCATACTCCCAAGAGCGCACAGAAATACTCAGGTGAGTGTACACTCACACACATATGTTAGATGCTGAGTATGCATGGCGATTGGGCTTTATTGTGGGTACTTTCACTTGTGCTACTTAACTCTGTAGCGACAGTGCCTTTAGTAAGACTGAGTTTTGTAAAGGATATTCGTGGAGTCAGTGTATTTCTCATTAAATTCAAATATTAGTCATAATACTTAGAACTAGACCTGGATATACTCTTATACAGATAACTGTTATACCCATAGCTCTTATTAAACTGCTTTAGTGGGCTGTTTGAAAGACAAAATCGAGAAAAAGTAGCTCTTACTCTTTAATAGGGAGTACCTTGAAATCCAAAAACAGTTTAAATAACAAATGCTGACATACTGACTTGTAGGTATTTCTTGAATAACAACTAAAAGCGAGTATGACCAGTCCCACTCTTCGAGGTTAGGATTGGAATAGAAGCTTTAATTCTTTTGGAGTCCAATTGTTTTATAATAACAAGGACAGTCGGGCTCATCTGGATATATTTAAGATATCCAGTATCAATAAAAAATAACTTTCAAATCTTTCTTACACTTGGTACATAGTTTAAAAGTTAGAGAAAGAAGTAATACTGATAAGACAAGCTCTGAGTTTTTATTTCCATTGGACAGAAAATGTACTCATACGGATATGACTGAAGAACTAAAATTTTCTCGGTTGGGGGATTATATCACTGCACCAGCAATCGTTGAGTTCCCTATGATTTTTCGTCTGATTCTTGTTCAACATTACAAACTAAGAGACTAGAGAAAAGGAGTAGTTACTATGATTACTGTAGTCCATAACCAACTTTTGTGTTTGCTCATTGAATAAGCTCGACGCAACAAAGTGGAAAACCACTGACTGTTCACTTTGATGCAGTTGTTATTATTTGTATCGAGGCTTAACAATGTTTTGCGATTAAAACGGAAGTAGAGACTAAGTCAAAGTTGGTCAGAGAGATTTCAAATACATTAACACACTTAATATTTTCGTTGAAAAATTATGACGTGATGCTGTTATAGGAGCAAATTTGATGTTTTTTAGTGTAAGAACCAAAAGTTTTCGGCCCATAATTTCGGCCTTTTTTTACGAATAGCTCAAACAGTATTCCTTGTTGGCAGTTTGGCTGGTCGCAGGGTTTGTTGAAGAAAAATGTCCACATAATCTTGATTTTTCACCTGCTTTGATGTGGTTTTTTTCGGCTTCGGCTCATCTTCCCACGATAGTCGACTGTATAATCGTGTGTTTTTGGGTTGAAAACATCGCGCCAAACTCATCATCAATTGTAATACCATGAAGCATTTTTTCACAAACGTTAAGGAGATGTGATTTTCAAAAAAATTATCTCTTGTAATGGTTATTAACGATCCTTTCGATATTCCAACGATGCCAGTAAGATCCCATTTCTTTCTCAAACACTAATTACCTTATTTAATTGGCCTGTTGATCATCAGGGTATCTACCCTGGACGTGGTTCGTCGTCAACGCGTTCTCGACCCTCTCTGAATAATTTGTACGGATCAAAAACACTTGCTCGCGACAAACAACTATTAACGAAGGCCTTTTCTAATATTCCGATTGTTTCGGAACCAGAAATTTGATTCCTCACACAAAATTTAATGGATTTTTTTAATAATTTCACTCATCGTAAAAATCGCCGAATGCCCAAATGGGCAAATGCATTTTTCCGAAAAGGAAGAATCATGATTTTTGATGAGTGCAGTTTCGACGGAATTTCGGTTGATCACGGCTTTTGATTGCCCCACATGTTGATCGTCATTTATGTCTTCACGACCACTTCGAAAACGTTAAAACCATTCGTGCACTCTGCCACGGGATAGGCAATCATCGCCATAAACTTGTTCCATCAATTGAAACGCTTCGGTAAAAGTTGTAGGAAGCTCATTTTCGCATCGACAACAGAAACATACTCACACTTAAAATGCAATAATTTCACTTCAAATCAATATCGTTGTATTGAAGTTGGTTATTAATTTCCATCTGTCCTGAGCTATTTGTTTGAAGTTCGTATAGAGATCACTTTAGATCGGTCCACGGACTCATTCAAAAAAGTTCCCATCTTGACCAACTCGTCTGCTTTCTCATTGCCGAAAATATTCCTGTGACCACGAACGTAAATTATAGACATGTGGGATTTATCTACCAGTGAGCTGAAGGCTTCTTCGTACGCTGGAAGAAACTTTGGCTTTCTGTGTAAATTGTTACTTTATGTAATCTCCTATAGTTATTCAATATAACTCTACAGCGAGGGAATACTGGAGTTTACAACCCCGTCACACTGCATTTCAGTTTGTGCAATACCGTCGGTACAAATGGAAACAATACTTTTCTCTCCTTCTACGGGTATTTTCCATTTACTTCTAGAACCTCATTAGAAGGTGACTATTGAAATCTAACCTTAGGAGAATGTATTTGAAGTTATCGGATTCAGTATAATGCAGCAGGTTAAGATCCAACACTACAATAGCGCTCATACGACATTTCATGAAACTTACGCAGTATTTTAGTTAAGTGACGATAGATATTTTCGGTGTGTAGTGATTCTTTTGTCACGCCAATATTTTTTCGGTAGATATGAAATTTAGCTGTTGTGCTGGAGATAACGCACTCTCGAAATCTTTACAATCAAAGTATGACCATTTCTAGTGAAATATAAATTAAAAATTATAAAAAACTTTTAAGTTAATAATTCTAAGCCAAAGCTCATCATAATAAATGTTATAGATTCGAACACTCAAAGCTAATATTCGAGAATTCAACTATAAGTTTACGCTGGGATGATTTTAGAATTACCAAAATTAACTATCACTTACGAACATTATCAATTTTTTAATATTTTTCAGGTACCTCGAATTGATCCTTGTGAAGTTTGTCTCTGCATGGATGGCGAGATATTTTGCTGGTGGGAATTGTGTTGTAAGTATGCACCAAGTATTATTATTTTTGCGCAAATTGCGATTTTTTTTATTTTTGTAAAACAAAGTGAAATTAATGGTTTGAAGGAAATTTTGAATAAATATGTGTGTATTAATTATTTTGTGACTGCACATCCTTCGCTTTGACGGCCTTAAGTACACAAGCAATCAAAAAGTACTCATAGTAATTCACTGGTATGCTATGCCTGCCGGACATGTTGACGCTATGCCTGACAGTGACAGCTGACAAGTTAACAGCACAAAAAGCAGCGCGAAATGCACCAAGGAAATATAATTACAGCGCAACAAGTGAACATTCTTCTGTGCCCTTATTCATTATATTCTTACTTTATGTGAGCTATGAAAAACTTTATGCGATGAAAATAAAATTCAATCCTCGACGCACTTATATTATTGACTGACCATTTTCATATTCGGTCATCACTGGGCCTAGAAACTGTTGGAATGGAGTCATTCAAGTGGAGAAAATAATTTCGTCACTGGTGTTGCATGTCTTCGTTTTATTCCAGATTATACTTTTAGCTACATTTCGTGTTATATTCTTAATTTAGGCACTTTCGCTTTTTCGATGTTGCCCTTTGTATTTTTGCTTACTTTTGAGTTTTTATGCGAGAGCGCTCAAGCCGCTAACTTGATTAGACACACTTCATTGGACTTAGCTTTCACAGGCAGCCTACTTTTGGCGAATCAGTTAGCCGTTAGGAGCATCAACATAGGTCATGTATACTTAAAATTAATATATCATGCACTTTACAATCGACAGGAATAAATTTAATAGAGTGAAGGATATGAAAAGTTTAAGGGTAACCCAAAAAAAAGACGGACACTGTGCGAAAATGTGTAAAGTGATGTCGTATAAGAAGTCTAAATGGACGACATATAACTAAAAAGGGGTTGTGGTTTTAAAATTTCTAAAGATATTACAATGTTGGAAAATATCCCTATAGATCCAACTATTATGCAACGAAAGTTTGATTTCATTTAATAAATCACAGTTCACTCAAAATACTTACTACAAAGCATGCACTGATTAAATATTGAAAACACATAATTTTCAATGAGTTTGAGATGCTATAATTCTAAATTTATAAATATTTAAGATAATAACTCCAAAGGATGAGAAATTTGGCAACTTCAAAACTTAGCTCTGTGTCAAACTCGTTATACAGGATTTTCCAATAAGAGTGATATAATTTCTTTCCAAAAATCCAAACACTAATCGCTAAGGAAATTCAAATCCTTTTTATTTAATGTGAAGTGCAATCAATTAAGTTTTATAACATCACTTAAATGGCCTCCATCACTTCTTTGGCAGGAAAGAATTCGTTGAAGCAAAGTTTCGAGTACTTTTTCAACTAAATCAAGTCGTATGTCACGAATAGCACATTTAATTATGTTTTGTAAGGCTTGAAGAGACTGTGCTTAATTGCTAAAGACCAACGACTTCAAATAAAGCCTCTAATCGTGTTCAATCACAACTCCTTGGAGGCCATTCAATGTCATAATTTCTTGAAACAATCGAGTCTCCAAACTTTTCAAAAAATAATTCGATTGTTGCACGTGCAGTGTGCAGTGTGGCACGTAGCTTCGTCTTCTTGGAACCACATGTTTTCGAGATCAACTGCAATTCAAAAGTTAGTTATCATCGATCTGTACCACTCTCCATTCACAGTAATAGTGTGATCAACTTAATTTCGAAAAAAGTATGGACCGCTCATTCCACCAGACCAAAAACCACACCAAACTTTCAATGTAGGTTAATGTAATGGTTATTCACGAATAATTTGTTTAGTTCGCAATAGAATCAGCAGCACCAATCAGATGAAAGTGAGCCTAATCGGAAAAGATGATTTTCTTAAAAAGCAATTTCATCAAATTCAATACGTTTACAGAGGTTCAACTGTTTCAGTTCTTGAGTGGGAAGAATTTTATATGGATGCAAGCCCAACCACTTTAAGACGGTCTCAGTTCTTCAGAACGTCTTGGAATAGACAAATTGAAGTCTTCAGCAACACTCTCCTGAACGGCAGCAATATTTTAATTACTTTGAGATGTTCTTTGTCTTATTGGCACTTGAACATTTCGTAAAGAAAGTGTATGACTGATATTTTCAACAATTCGAAGAATAGCGAGCACAGGTGGAAGATTATTACGATCAATTGGAGAACTATTATTTTGTTAATAATATCGAATAATTTGTAAACGTGGTTCTTGCATTTTTTTGCACATTCTACTTTCCATTATGATATTGTTAACAATATTGAATACAATGAAGTAAATACAAACTAACATATTTTCCCTATTGGAAACCCGGTATATTTGTTTATAGTTTAGTACCGCATTACTAAAACTGGATTTGATGTTTGTTTTGAAAATTTCAATATATCATTCTCTAAAAGCAGTTTTTCCCAGCTATCAAGCTATGTCTACACAAAATTAGAGAAGGCGCTATGCAGCTTTGTAGTCATTTCAAGCTTTCAGGATTAGTGATGTTCCGAAGGCCCGGAATTGGCTAACGTGGCGTTTATACCAAGCTCTCACGTCGGTGAAAAGGATTTCAGATCTATTAAATTTTCTTATATATTAGGTTGCCAAAAAAGTCTTGCGGTATTTTAGCTAGTTGGCGCTGAGACCGCGTAGTTCTAGTTTTATTCGACGCATCAGGTTATGCTACACCTTTTTGGAAAGCTCATTTCACGCGCTAACACGTGTTTGATTGATTGTCGTTTCTTTTGAGT